TCCTTGGAAACATTATACAGGGTCGCTATGGGTCAGAACCGACTTGACTACACTTAACAACAACAACAACAACAACAACTACATGGTCTCATATAAAATATTCCCAACTGTGTTATACTTTGTATATATTCTTTTGTGAATTATTTATTCTCTTTTTTCACTTTCATTTGATGTCTTGACACTAGAGATATCACCCTTTTGTCTTTCTGACACATTGTTTCTGTTCTCCTAACAGATTTTCTGGGCATCAAGGGGACGTAAAGGGTTTTCAGCACTACTAGAATCAAGGAAGCTTTCTCTTCTTCATAATGTCTCAGAGATGATTGGAGCCTGTATCTTTCCTATCCCCCTCAGATTTACATCATATCTTTCTCTTTCTCTCCTTGTTGAGTAGATTTTTCACTTTAAACCCTGGGCATAAAATGACCATACCAAAAAGAATATCTGAGTTGACACGTCTTTGGGAGGATTCCCAACTTCAATATCAGGGTACCATTTCAAAATTTTGAGGGATAAAATAATCTGATTTTGTCATCATGCTATTGATCTATTCTTGAGCTAATGTGTGTGTGTGTGTGTGTGTGTGTGTGTGTGTGTGTGTGTGTGAACTCTTTGTTGGGCATAAGCAGGTTTCAAAGTAGAAGTTGCTGGGCTCAATTATTTTTGAAGGTGTCAAAATCACAAATTGAAATGAGGATGGGAATCTTTTGCAACCAAATAACTAAAGTACAAGTAGTACAATGTTTGGACCTAACAACCACATGTGCTTGAAGTTTCAGCAGAAGAAGAAAGGCCACCAACTCTGATCACTGCCTTTCTTACTCATCCCTCTCACTGCACTGACTTTCTTGATGACCTTGAAAATCTGAACTAAGCTCCTTTCTCAGGGTCTTCTCATCCTTGAGACCTTGTCCACATGTCACCTTGCCTGTTGGTATTATAATAGCACCCAGTAAATAGTTAGTCTCTCCTCAGATCAGCATTCCCTGCTCACTCTCTCCTTTTGACCACATTTCTTTTTTTCATAGTTCCTTGTCACCATTTGACATGTTTAATGATTCTTTATATTCTTTGTAAATATTAGGTTATACCTTTTGTTTTTTGAGACTGCATCCACATAGAATAGACTTTTCCTGGAACGTATAGTTGGCAGTGTGTATTCTCCAAATGAATTAATGAATTTCTTATAACAACTGTAGACCACACACCTGCTTAGGCAAAAGGCTGAGGATAGCACCAGGATACTTTAT